GGGGGGGGGGAGTCGGGTTAACCCTTTCTTAAATCAGGTTAACCCAATCTCAGGTCGGTATTCCTATGAACTTCCTGAACTTACGGTCTGTAATAAATCTGAAAATGAAAACTCAGGGAAGAACTGTATGAATAACCAATAATAATAAAAGAGTATCTTTCTCTAACTCTCAGTTAATCTGCCTAGAAAGCCTTGGGCTGACCACTTTAAGAAAAAACAGAAAAAAACCCACTTTTTTTTAAAGGGTAGAGTTTACAAAAGCTGTTCTGCACTGGCCTGCCCCTCTTCCAATGGATGTCAGTGGGAGTTTTACTACTGATTTCAGTGGGAGCAGATTTAGACCTAAGCTGAACATTTTTGAAAATCCTACCCTCAAGTCTTATTGCTTCAAGATGTGAAAAGGTAAATGTTGTACGAGAACTGGCTCTATACAAATATAGGTATTTTATAACATGCTTGACACACTGGGTTGGACTTTTCTCTTAAAAGGGTAAATAATGTTGCACTTGGAGGAAAACAAAGTCTAAATAATGCCAATAATAATAATGCGCTCTTAAATTGCACTTCTCATCCAGTGATCTGAAGCACTTTACAAATGGGGTCAATAATACAGATGGAAAGGGGGAAATAAAAGTGTAGCGAAACAGAGACAATAATATACTTCACTGTTACATCTATCTCCTTACATGAAAAATCTGCATAATAAATTGCTGGATATAATTGGAAACATTTTTGGAACCATCTGTTTTTGTCCCATATTTGTTCGGGGCTGGAAGAAATTCAGGATATCAGTTTTTCCTGTGTGTGCACATTTTATAAAGCAAGTCATGTACATAAAAGCCTCAGAGACTCCTAAAATACTCTGATGCCAACTTTCAAACATGGCTGGTTCCTATGACCTACTCCCTGATTTTGGTAAATCCTTAATTGCACCATGAGTCAGATTATAGAGATGATGGTCATGAACAAACTGTGCTGAGCCAGCATAACACCAGTCTAGAAAGAAATGATGATTTCTCTCAGCAAAAATCATATTCCAGAGTAGTAAAAAGTCTTTCAGCATCTTTTAGGTTGCAGTCATAATGTCCCTGCACCTTCCAATATCGACTGGTGAGAAGCATGTTCTTTCCCAGGTATGCAGCTGAGGCAACATTTCTGATGCCCTAAAGGAATGTGTTCCAAAGCTCTCTCCAGAATATGCTTATTTCTTATTGCAGCAGCACAGTGTCAGAAGGCCTGATTCTCTTTAAGACTTAAGCCCTTTTCTATAACTGGCACTGTCAAGAAAGCTAAAGTAAGTGTAAATAGTGTGTAAAGGTTGTTTTAAGGCCTCTTAAAAGTGATATAGTGGAGACTTACTGTAGAAAAAGAATTCAGTCTTAGTGAGTGCGCCTACACGAAATGTTACAGCAGTGTAGCGTCGGCAGGCACAAACTGTGATGCCAGTGCTACTGCGGGGTATGGTTGGAAATGACCTGTGTGCCACCAGGACTGCGCAGTATCAGCAGTTACTGTGCAGTCATTGAGTACAATGACTGCACAGTAACAACTGCACAATCAGGCACCCATGTTGATGTGCCCATGTCTTTATTAGGCCTGTGCAAAGCCGCAAGTATTCACTTCGAATTCGGATTTGGCCGATTCAGAGGGACAGTGATTCGATTTGGAGATTCGAATCACTGTCCCGATTCGATTTGGCCAAATCGGATCTGAAGATTCGACCATAGACTAAACAGGCTGCAGTCCTCACCATGCCGGACACTGCTGCCTCCAGCTGGGAAGTTTCTTGTGATGGGCAAAGGGGGAGCAGATCAACATCCCCCCCCACCCCAAGTGGTTGCAGCAGTGGCAGTAGCAGCCCCACCTGGAAGCTGTGTGTCTTGGTTGGACCGGGTCCTTCCACACACAAGGATGGAGCAAGGTGCGTGGTCTGGGCAGGGTACAATTAATTGGTGGGTGCCCACAAGCCGCATAAAATTGCCTGATGAGCCATATAAGGCCTGGGCTGTATTTTGTCTGCCCCTGTCTTAGATGCGCACAGGGAATTCCTACAAAGGCCCATGGTAACTGCATAGATATATTTTAGAGCATAATTGGGTCTCACAAGTGCAGTTTATATGAATTAATATTAAAAGCTGAACTTTACAATTCTTAGCGTTGGAGTACTTTCAGGTATAACTTTAACTTTATGAGAATGCCAGAGTTTGTGAGGTTTGCATAGATTATTGCAGTTTGTATTTTTTCTGGCTATTTGCCATTCGCAGGCTTCATTGCATCCTATTAGTATTGAACTGGCCTCGTGGGGATCTGTTTCCTGTTTATTGCTTAAAGTCTTCATGGGCATTTCAAAACCTTTTCAGCAGTTCATAAATGTGAAAGTGTCAGACAAACAAAATATTGTTGCTAATTTTCTAGTAGTTTAAAATAAACAAAGATGGGTCTTAATCCGCTCCCTCCCTAGTGAGACAGCTCTCACAGATCTAGTGAGAACAGACACAGGACCTGAGATCTTGAGATCTCAGTAGCAAGTGCTCTGCCTTCACTGAACTGTTCGAATACCATATGCTCCAGTCTGGAAAACTCACCACAAAAGATATGTCCACAGTTGGTTTCTACTGGGCAAGTTGCTGTTTGGAGGCATATTGGGCAATTGAAGTCACTGTGATAACGTGGTTGCCAATGCTGGAGAGATTCCTAAAACAGAAAAAGTCAGAATTCTTTAGTAGATGCATATTTTGAGTGACACCATTTATTAATATTACATTAACTATTAATTATTCTATTTCATCTGCAAATGAGTGTATTAACATTAACCATTACTTGGCCTACAGCAATCACGGAAGAATTCATCAGTGGTGGCAGATGACAGAACTAGGAGCAAGGATCTCAAGTTGCAGCAAGGGAAGCTGAGGTTAGATATTAGGAAAAACTCTCACACTAGGAGGGTAGTACAGCACTGGAACAGGTTACCCAGAGAGGTTGTGGAGTCTCCATCCCTAAAGGTTTTTAAGATCCAGGTAGACAAAGCCTTAACTGGGATGATCCAGTCGAGGATGGTCCAGCTTTGAGCAGGGAGGAGGACTAGATGGTCTGTTCCGACCCTGATTTTCTATGTTTCTCCACCTAACAGATGGGGAAAATGAAATGCCTAGAAATTAAATGATTTATTTAATGTAACAAATCATGGCATTTTTACACATGCAAACACCACAGCACTGTGTCATGTGCAGTTGTATAAGCGGCGAAATGCATGTTACGGCGCAGAAAATGGCGGCAGTCCGCTTTTGAACTCAAATGCATAGAAGATGTTTTAGTTCAAAAGCACACTGCTGCCATTTTCTCCGTGACCCAAGTTAACCCCTACCTAGTCCTCTTACTGTTGAATTCAGGGCTTTGGATCCTTGCTCACCATGTAAAATTGCTGTGACTGCAGGGTCAGGGAAGACTTAACTTGGTCCTTGGTGGTGACAGCTCTCTGGCAGCAGTGAGCTGTAACCACTGCTCTACTCCACACAGACAGAGGCTCAGGCCCCCCTGCCTCCATTTTGGTGCCCCAGGATGCAAACTGTTAGGTATTCCTCTCGGAGTCAAGGATCAGCAAGGATCAGAGCAGCAGTTGGAGAAGGTGAGGGCTTAACTTGTGGCAAGCCAACCAGAAAAGTTGGCCACGAATTACCTAGGCCATCTTCATACAGGGCACCTCTACATGAGCAGTTAATGCACATGAATAAACTCCTGGACTTATTGCTGGAGTTTTTTGCTTCTATGCACAGCATTTGAATATGAACCTAGGAACAAAAAACTCCAGAGTATATTGCTCTGGAGTTTATTCATGTGCAGCACATTGAGCCTGGTTGGAGCAGCCCCAGGGCTGCTCCAGTCGGGTTAAAATTGCTGCAGAGAGGCTGACTTGGTCATGGAGGTATTTCAGGGCAGGGCTAGTTGGCAGGTAGCTCCCACATTGAAGCACCCTTGTGTCCCAGCCATCTAGGCAGTATCTACACATGCGCTGCTGTGCACAAAAAGACTCCAGAGCAGGCTAGTACTTTTACAAGTACTAGCCTGCTCTGTAGTTTGTTTCATGTGCCCTAATAGGGGCATACATGTAGACAGAGATGTTTCCTGTAGAGTTAATTAGGCAGCTCTTTAATAAATGTCTTGAGTAGGCGCACCCACTGAGTCCCAAATTCTGACTCAATAAACCAGAAATTTTCCTTGTTGTTCATTGCCAGTTTCAGCCACTTCTTCATGTACCAGAATGAAAGGCTTGGTGAGTATGGGAATTATGGCTTTTCTTGGACTGGCATGATTATTTGTCCACTGTAAACCATAGGCCTTGTACAGTGAATAACTAATGGAGGATCACATGTAGCTCAAATAAAGGGCTGTGTTTTTAGAACAAGAGAATATGAGTTTTATCCCCACTGTCAGTATAATTTTTCAAAGGGGCACTGTGAAGTCATAGATGGCCATGAATTACCTATGGTAATATAACACACTACCCCAAAAGTATCCTATCCTTTTTTTCTAATTTTTAGTGGAAAGGATGTAAGGTTTAGTTTGTTTGGGCTTTTGTTTCAAGATCACCTACTGCCCACTCCTATAAAAAAAGTCTGCTTGGTATTATAGGCATTTCTGCCATAGCTACCTGATATAATGAGTGGTAAAGAAAAGGCTAAGCAGAATTTTTCTTACTGTATATCAGTTCCTTGCTATGACAGAAAGTTATTGCCAGTTTCATTTATTCAGATTTATTAGCCGGCTTCTGCTGGATCAGGAGATAAAATGTGCTTGCCTCTTTTCATTTTTATGTATATTAAAGAAAATATTGCTTTTTAGATTTTGGTCACTTGTCATTGCCAAACTTAGATCAGCCTGTGAAGACAGTCTAGTAACAGTGTAGTTGGCAACCTTTTCTTCTGAAGATAAAGTTATTTCAATGTTCGTGTCACTCCTATTTAGTAACTGGACTCCTCTGAATTCAGGAGAAGCCTCCATAGACATTCATTTGTTCTATGGTAATATCATTTGTCTTTCACCTCCTGTGCATAGTCAAAGGGTACAGGAGGAGGAGGAGTATTAGTTCCACAATTTTATTTTGCATTTGGATCAAAATGTAGTTAAAAGTAGGTGTTTCTTGATGATACGTGCCAAATTATACAGAATGGTATGTTACTACAAAGGAAATAAGGCATATGATTATGGTTATTTTATGATGTCACCATATGCATGGTCATGCCGTATTGCCCAACAGGAAGGTACGTGCCAGTGGTCTTGTTTGCTCTGGTGCATATTTCAAAAGCAAGGTTGGCACCCACTTTCCTGATGAATCAATGAAAACGCCCCCACACTATTTGATCTATTTCTGGAAGATTCAATAAAGAGCATAATAATAGAACTTAGCTCTTTAAATGGTAGAAAGCAGTAGAGACAGGGAACCCAGTGAATGCCACGCTTATGGGAAAAGCAGAGAAAGATCAATTTGATTAATTTAAAGACTCCAAAAAAGAGTGAGGTTGGCAAGCAGCTCTACAAAACAACTGAACTTATATCCTGCTATCTCTGCCAGTTCACTGACTACATGTGTTGAAATCAGTGCCCTCTAAATGATCCTTTTCTTTGTATGATAAGGATCTGGACCAAGAGGAAGTAGGGTTTTTTTAAAAAACAAAATATCAAACCCACTGAAAAAAAGTCTCATTTTTCTCTGTTCATGAAATGCCTAATATAGATAGCACCCATCTTTAGGCTGCGTATAAGCTGCAATGAGTTGTATGAGTTATATAATCAAGTACTAAATAAATGCACAGTAACCAAAGTTACTGTGCAGTAGCACTGACACATGCCTTTTTAGTGACTCTACTGCGCCACAGCCTAATAAACAGTGCTAGTACTCTACTGCACGGTACTGTGCTGTGATGTACTACTGCACAGTATTATTAGGTTACTGCGCAGTTAGTGTCTCGTGTAGACCTGTCCAGTGTGACTTCAAAAAACACCTCCATCATGGCATTTTAATGTATTCCAACTTCCCAAAATGCTTTGGGGACCTATTTGTAGACTCAAAGGGACAGCCTCACAACTGACATCTATTTTCACTGGTGAAACTTTGACAATTTACATCCGCTGAAGGCCTACGCCTTAGTCCATGACCATGGTGTTTACAAAATGCTGCACGTTTGACCTAAGTGTATCAAATCTTTACTTTGCAAAGTAATAAAACATATACTCCTTTAGCCTTGTCTAGTACAAAAACAGGAACCAAATGTGTTTCCAATTATGTAGCAGATATTGAACAAAGGAAACCCAGCATTCCCAGACCATAACCAATGGAAATTTTGAAAAGCTCTCCTGACCTCTGCAACCTCAATAAGTATAAATTGCTTTTGTATTTTATATTAAACTATAATGTAAAATCATTAACTTACTATGGGATTCCTAGAAGAAAAATGGTTATAGCCTTTTTCCAGATGACTCATCTTTTGCTGATTGACATTAGCAAACCTGTAAAAACAGAGTTTGTGCTATTTTAAAAAATGGTAGAATTGAATATTACTTTGTTGCCATGTAATATCAGCCCCAGCTTCTGACGTGAGTCATTGAATTAATGAGTGCCTAAACTCATCAGGTATATCTAGTAGGCACTGCATGTAAGGACACATTTGTGCTTAAACACAGAAAATTCCAATCATTTTCTACTCAAGGCACTGTGTGTCACATCGGTTAAAAATTCAAAATCCCAGAAGCCAGCCTAATAATAATCCCCTAATTATGACTCACAGAAAGGAACACATACATGCATGTACAACAACAAAAAATTAAATTCAGAGTTACAAAGTAAATTTATCTTCTTGAAATACCAGTCTTCTTTCCCTACATTCTGGGAAAGAAGAGTATGAGTACCAAAGAGCTTCACATAGGAGAAATCTCCCTAGTTGACCTCTAAGAAATATTTAGGTCACCCAGAAGGGATAAATTTTGTAATTATTGAGCACTAAAGCTACAATTTCCAAAGCCACCTAAGGGATTTGAATACTTAATTCTCATTAAAATGGATGAGTGCTTGTACCTCCATACATTTAGGCAGTTGAGAAAAATCTTAGCTTCAAGATTTTCTTCTGATTGCCAAATAGATACTGAAAATGATTTTGTTTTGTAATGCTGGAATTCCACTGTGCCTGACACAGTATAGGTAGTTGTCCAGGATGTGCAGATAATGACAAAGACAGACCCAAGAATATCAATATAATCAACATTTTTTAAAATGTATGTTGCATGTGGATAAAAAAAGTGTGTTTTCATTGGAGAATATTCTTGCATCTTTCAACATGCAGGAGTGCTAGATATTATGGGACTATATTCTTCCTTTTCCAAATGATCACCTAAGTGTGATCTATCTGTAACAGCTGGGATCCTCTGATCTTCCTCAAAATAATACACTATGGGTGCATCTACATGTGGAATTAATGCAAATGAATAAAGTCTGGCATGGTTTGTCCTGGACTTTATTGATCCTGAGCACCATATTTACACATGTGCCTCGGGCCAAAGCACACTGAGCTGGGTCAGAGAAGCTCTGGCTGGCAGGAGCCCTGGGGGGGTCAGCCTGCCAGCCCAGGGCTGCTCCAACCTGCTCAATGTGTTGCAGAGGAGCTGGCTGGGGCACGAGGGTGCTTCAGTGCAGGGCCAGCCAGCAGATAGCCCCTGCACTGAAGTATCCTTATGCTCCAGCCAGCCCTGGTCACTGTCTACATGTGCGTTGTGGCCATAGGATAGCATTTGTGTCAGGCAGTATTATCCTATGGCAGAGTTAATTAGTTTACTTTGACTTAATAGCACCATTTGTGTAGAGAGTAACACTTTGCTGAAGAGCTAAGTAGTCATCCCCTAGTAAAGCACACATGTAGATATGCCCTGTAAGTAACAAAAGCAACTGAATATTCCTTTCTCAGGCAAACAAAAAAAGCCTGTTGTAATTGAATAGTGAGCTCAATGTCTGCCTCAAACAGAGGCAAAATGCCTTTTTTAAAGGTATGTGTCTGTGCCTGCTCCCAGTGAGATCAGGGTCAGCAAAATTCCAGTTGATTTCAGTAGAAGCTGTGTCATATTGCAGGTACGCCATCATTGTGCCAGGGCACCTGAAGCACACTTTTCTCAATGGGACAAATCCATTGTATGAGCACCACCTGTTAATTTAGAAATGAAGGTCAGATACAGACATTATGGGCCCCTGTACATGTGCAGGGAACCTGCTCCAATGTCCTGGAAATCCAGCGCATTGAAGGAGACTCAATTAATCGAGTCTCCTGAAGCATGGGAATTGATGCAATCTGGCAGCCTTCCACATCACTTGTATCAGCATCCCCTTGCATTTCCGCATGGAAAAAAATGGTGGCAGGGTGCTTTGAAAAAAAACACATTCAGTGAACTTCAGTTTGAAGCATCCAGCTGCAGGAACCGGTGAGTGTGGGGTTTTGTTGTTGTTTTTTTTCTTGAAGGGCCAGAGCTGGGGCAAGCAGGGCAGCCACAGAGAGTCCGGGGGAGCGGGCAGGGAGCGGGAGCTCGTGCAGACCCCCCACCCATACAGCATGGGGCAGTGAGAATCGCCCCCACACCCAACAGCACCTGGTGAGTAGGGAGCGGGCAGGGGGTGCTGGGGGACTGGGAAAGTAGGCAGGGGATGGGGCGGCAGGGGTCCCCCCATGGTCCCCTCCCCTCTCCTCCAGCCTCCCCTGCCCCACCCCCTAGTTACCAGCTCTGAGTCCAGCTCCAGCTCCCTGCTGCAGTGGGCAGGGACTGCCCAAATCATCAAAGCTCTCTGAATCTTTTCTGAATCGATTTGGAGAGCTTTGAATCAATTCAGACCTTTTTATTGGCCCCCTGATTCAATTCAGATTCGGAGATTCGGCCACCAAAAGGGACCGAATCTCCTCCAAATCAAATCAGCACCCGAACCTTCACACAGCCCTACTCATTACTACTGTGCAGTAGTTTGTTACTACTGTGCAGGAGTGTTGCATCACAGTTCATGCCCTCAACGCTACTGTGCAGTAGTAACAAGCTACTGCACAGTCAGTGTTTCATGTAGACACGGCCACTGTGCTGCTGGAAGACCATTGAAACTACTCCCTTATTGTACTGCAATTAGGGCTCAGCACTTGGTGGTTCAATTCTGGTCTTTCTTTTAATGTTTTGCAGGTTAAAAAGAAACTGTCATAGGACAAAAAAGCAGCCGCTAGAAGCTGGTTTTATGCTGCCCTGGTCTCCCTGTAAACGAAACTGTGATGTCCAGATGCAAGGGGCTGTGCATAAAGGATTTTTCTACTACCATAAGAAGTTAGTCAGGAGCTGCTTCCTTATCTGTGACCTGAGTCTTTTGTACATTAAAGTAACTGTTAATTAAAAAAAAGAAAATGGACTGCCTTCTGTTTAACTTGAAATAAATCCAAAAGCTATAAAGACTCTTAACAAAGGGGAAAGAATTGGAAAGCCACAAGTGGAACAGTCTAACACTGGGGTATGCATGTCCTAATGAATTTTCCCCCTAGGTTTATCATATTAATCTGCAAACCCAATCCTAATATATCTTGCAAGAGTTAATGCCCAAACCCAAGGCTTTAATTCTTTGATGTATAGACCTGTACTGCTGATAACCTATTTTATCCTGACACTCTCATCAGGCTTATTTAAACATTATTTATTACCCAGTGGAAAGTTTCATGAAAAAGAACAAAGGAAAATGATCATTATATTCTAAATAAAATATCAATTTGATGTATTTAGCATATAAAAACATAGATGACTATCTTAATTGTTACTGAAAGCTATCACAAAAGTAAAAACAGTTAATTCTAGCTGAGAATTTGTCCCACAGTGAACAGTTTTCTTGCATTCTATCATTATATAGGGGGAAGTATCTAATATATGTATCTTTTAAATACTTCGGGTGTGAGCCTAATCTTATTTACCCTGATTTATCAAAAATAACTGTACCAAGATCAATGGATTTACATAGTTGCATTAATGGTCTGAGACCAGAACTAGGCTCATTAGATGGTGAAAACTATTACAGAAAGAGTTAATCACATAGTCAGCACCATTATTTTAAAATGTCTTAAAATGGTATTTGTGTCCCATTTTGCCAGGATGTTTTTATTATGTATCTGAATTTAAAAGCACATATTCTAGCCCACATAGTGATGACCTCTTTAGTTTAGATGCTGTCAGTTTTCACAATACGTTAGCTTCCATCTATATTTTCCAGACGCAAATGGTAAAATTGAGGTTAGTTAAAAATAACTTTATTAAAATAATTTGGCACCAGGACAAGTTGGCAAAGAGCATTTTGGATTCATCTTCAATGGAGATATTAAAGGCTTAGACTTGTCATTCATCCATCAGGGGTGGATTAAGAAAAAATAATTGAATCTTGCACTGATTTCAGTGACTACTTTACCTAAATAAGGACCACCGCACAATTTAAAGTGCTGATTATTTTTAAGTAATCATTTTTAAATGATTTATTTTAAATAGTATAAACTGGAACATTTCTGAGAGGTCCAAAGGAGTTAGTGTCCAGTTCCCACTGATTTTCACTGAGTGCCTAAGATGTCCTTTGAAAATCCAAGCCTTGGATAATAAAATATTGACATTGTCTGTGCATTCTGCATCCGTCTTGCTGAAGCTGGCAGTTCAATAGTCAGGCTCCATTTTGCATGTTTCGTCTGCCATATGAATCGTTCATTAATGGCTCTTCATTGGCCCAGGATCAATAGGAAGGGGGTGGAGGATGCTCTCAGCTCTGCCTAGCCAGTGTGGTGTTAAAGGCACTCTAGCAGGAAGCAGTAGATGTGGGCTAAAGTTCTTTTTTACTGAAGAAGGCAGGGCTGTGTGAAGCTTCGGTTCCTGATTTGATTCGGTGGAGATTCGACCCACTTTGGTGGCCTAATCTCTGAATCTGAATTGAATCAGTGGACCCTTCAATCTTTCTGAATCGAATCGGAACCCTCCAAATTGATTCGGAGAGATTTGGCGATTCAGACATAGACACAGCATTAAATGTTTTTTCTGCATACCTCAAGGTACCAGGTGGCTCATGAGTGCTGTGATGCTGGGGCGCATGGAGCGTCCCACAGGAGCTCAAGGGGCTCCCCACCGTGCTCAGCAGCAGACCTGGAAGTGGACCAATAACACTTCTGGTCCACTTCTGGATCCTCTGGGGAGTGCGCAGGGGGGCCCTCCCCATACCCCCTGCAGCTTGGCAACTGTTGCCTCCTGGGTCTGGGGGGGGATCCGGGGTCCCCCCATGGCCGATTGCTGAGCTGGAAGGGTGTAGGGGTACCCCCCAGTGTGCTCCCCAGTGGACCCGGATGTGGACCGGAAATGCTTCCGGTCCACTTCCAGGGTCACTGCCAAGCATGTGGGGGGGGTGCCCTGTGCTCCTCTGGGATGCTCCATCTGCCCCAGCATTGCAGCATTCACAAGCCACGCCTGGTACCCTGATG